AATTCCCAAATTGGATGCTGAAGTTGAATTGTTAATTGGCACAAATGCTCCAAAGCTCTTGGAACCATGGGAGATCATCAATAGTGAAGGTCAAGGACCCTATGCCATCAAGACCCTATTGGATACCCAGTATTTACCCAAACACTTCCTTCGTCTGTCTGTCCTCTATGGTTTTCAGTCAGTCACTGCTAATAGGATTTCTGTTACCAAGCTGGAAGAATTATTGGTTGCTCAGTACAATCATGATTTTGATGAGAAATCTTCAGAGGATGATTTCAAAATGTCTGGAGAAGATCAGAGGTTTATGGAGATAATGGATCAGTCAATTAGTACTGAAAATGGTCATTATTGTATTGACCTACCCTTCAGAAAGAAGGATGTCATCATGCCTAATAATAGATGCCTTGCAGAACAGCGTTTAAAGAGCTTGAATAGGAAGTTCAGTTGGAACCAGGAGTTTCAAGAAGAGTATACCACTTTTCTTACTGATGTTATTAACAAGGGGTATGCTGAAGCAGTACCACAAGATCAGTTACTTCGGGATGATGGTAAGGTGTGGTATATCCCACATCATGGGGTATACCATCCTAAAAAAAAGACAATTAGAGTTGTTTTTGATTGCAGTGCAGTTTTCAAAGGAGTGTCCTTGAATTCACAATTACTGCAAGGCCCAAATCTCACCAACACATTGTTGGGTGTTTTGACCAGGTTTAGACAAGAATATGTGACTTTGATGGCAGACATTCAGGCGATGTTCCACCAAGTAAAAGTATCACAGAAGAATGTGGATTTTCTTCGTTTTCTATGGTGGCCTAACGGTGATACTATGCAAAGCTTCAAGGAATACAGAATGAAGGTACATCTGTTTGGAGCTATTTCATCACCAACCTGCAGCAATTTTGCTTTGAGAAAACTTGCCGAAGATTATAAAGATTGCTTTCCAAATAAAGTCTTGAATTCTATCCTGCATAACTTTTATGTAGATGATTGTTTAATATCTGTTCCCACAGAAGTGGAGGCACTTCAGATGGTCAAAGACTTAACCGCAGTCTGTTCCAAAGGAGGATTCCCGTTATCCAAATGGATAAGTAATAGCCGTAATGTATTAACAAGTATTCCAGAAGAACATGTCAAAATTGACGAAAAATCTCAACTTGGATAAAGACAACCTACCTGTCGAAAGAGTGCTTGGGTTGTACTGGTGTGTGGAATCTGATGCATTTATGTTCAAGATTGCTATAAGTGAAAGACCACCAACAAGACGAGGTGTTTTGTCAGTTGTTGGTTCTATTTATGATCCCTTGGGGTTTCTTTCACCACTAATACTTCTTTCTAAGTTGCTGTTACAGGAATTGTGCAAAAGAAACATCGGATGGGATAATGAAATGCCACAAACCCTTTTATGCCAATGGTCTGAGTGGCTGCAAGATCTCAAAAAGGTAGCTATGGTGAAAGTTGGCAGATGTATCAGGCCAAAAGATTTTGGAATGATCAGGATGGCTCAGTTGCACCACTTTTCAGATGCAAGTCAGTGTGGTTATGGAACTGTCTCTTACTTGCATCTGGAAGATGAAAATAAAAGGGTGAGACTTTCCTTCATGCTTGGAAAATCTAGGGTTGCTCATTTGAAACAAATAACTATACCAAGGCTTGAACTTGCAGCTGCTGTTTTGGCAGTCAGAATTGACAAGATGCTTAAGAAGGAACTTCAATTGGATTTAGATAAGTCAGTGTTTTGGACAGACAGCCAAACTGTACTGAAGTACATTGCCAATGATGCCAAAAGGTTACATACATTTGTAGCAAACAGAGTGTCGGTCATCAGGGATGCAACAGATGTTATACAGTGGAGACATATTGGAACAAAATTAAATCCTGCTGATGATGCCTCTAGAGGCATGTCTATTGAAAACTTCTTGAAATCCAGCAGATGGATACAGGGTCCAAATTTTCTGTTAGAAGCTTCAGAGGAATGGCCACAATCCTCTTTGGACCGAGCCTTGTTAGATGATCCCGAGGTAAAAAAGAATACAGTGGTAAATGCTGCTATTTTAAACCGTTCTGACAGTACTACACATCAACTCTTGAGCTATTTTTCTGACTGGACAAAACTGAAAACTGCAGTGGCATGGATTCTAAAGTTCAAAGATGTTCTTTTGAAGATCAAGCAATACAGAAAACATATTCAGTCCTCATTTACTTCTGGAACAACCAATTCTACAGTAGAGCAGAACAGAGTTAATGAGGAAATGAGAAGGTTTCGAACTGGATTCCAAGGTCAAAGTTTAATACCAAATGATCTTTCTCAAGCAGAATCAGCAATTATTGGATTTTCTCAACATGATGCATTTAAACAAGAAATTTCTTCCTTGCAAAGTGGAACATCTGAAGTCAAAAGGTGTAGTAACATCTGCAAGCTTGATCCGGTGTTGATGGATGGTTTACTTCGAGTGGGTGGAAGACTTAGTAGAGCAGCAATGCCTGAAGAGACAAAAAGACCAGTTATCCTGCCGAAAGAACATCATGTATCCAAACTTATAATGCAGCATGTTCATAGACAACTAGGTCATGCAGGAAGAAACCACATGTTGTCAACTTTGCGAAATAAGTACTGGATTATCAATGCAAACTCTGCTTGTAGAAAAGTAATCTCTGAATGTGTTGTGTGTCGACGTTTTCAAGGCAAAATTGGAGAGCAAAAAATGGCTGACTTACCAAAGGAAAGAATCATGCCAGATTTGCCTCCTTTTTCTAACACTGGTGTGGACTACTTTGGACCTATTGATGTGACGAGAGGTCGCGGTGTTGTTAAAAGATATGGAGTTATGTTTACCTGCATGACCAGTCGAGCAGTACACCTTGAAGTAGC